AAAAAAAAAATTTAAACTATGCTTATTTTTTTTCTTCTTACAACTGCAGTTGCAATGATTTACAATAACTTACAAAAATTTGGTCAAATAACTGCCAATAGATGCATGAATTCCCTAAAGTTGTTGCGGTATCAAAGACTACAACAACAACAGCGTCAAGTACAACGTTGTTTCAGTCAGTTATGTTTTGGTCAGCAATCAACAGCACAGCAATCATCGTTCAGCGAAAGTAATTTGCCATACGGCAAGCGGCTGTGTGTAGTGTTGTTGCCGTTGACCGGAGTTAACTGTGCCGCTGCTTCACAACTTGCACCGTCATCGTCTACCGCCGGTGGGCACCGTTCACAAGCCGATGATGTGAGTAATCGCTTCAGGAAAAAATTTTAGTGTGTATGTCTGAACCCCTTTTCAGAAATGCATATTATGTTTGTATGTATGTACAGATTACAGATGTGAACTTTGTTCTACTAAAACTTCCTGCGAGTTGATCAACAATTATGATTGATTTTATAACTTTACTCTTAAAATTTTAACGTTTATTCTAATGTAGTTATGGGCATTTGTGCATAAATTAACACGTATGTATGTATGTATGTATGTACATAGGTATTTCTAGCACTCGATTTGTGTATTGATTGCTATGTACCTAGTATACATATGCATTAGTTCAATTAACTTTTACCTGATAAGTATATATATGTACATATACATATCTGTGCGTGACTTATTCGCAGCTAACATTTTAATGCTTATTTCCACTATTAAACTTAATTCTTGAAATAGTTTTGTTTTGCCTTTGCTTCCGGGCGGTTGACTAAAATTCCTATTCGCTTTTAAACGGTCGTTTCAGGTCAGCAATATGTCAGATCAGGACGCTAAGAATGCCAAGTCAATTTATGACTTTACCGTCAAGGACACGCATGGTAATGAAGTTTCCTTGGAAAAATACAAGGGAAATGTGGTGCTAATTGTAAATATTGCATCCAAATGTGGTTTGACCAAGAACAACTACGCCAAATTGACCAACTTGTTGGAGAAATACGAATCGAAAGGTCTACGCATTTTAAATTTCCCATGCAATCAATTCAGTTCGCAGATGCCTGAAGCTGATGGTGAAGAAATGGTGTGCCACTTGCGTGACGCCAAAGCCAATATTGGTGATGTATTCCAAAAGGTGAGTTGA